CCTAACATGGGTGTAATTTGTCTTTGGTTTTCTCCAGCCATGGCAGCTGTTACTCTCTTCAGTGTTATTCAATATTCTTTGAATAGCCCCCTGCTGTTTCCTCTCCAACTGCATTCCCTGTGGCTCCAGAAGGACCCCCTTCCACTGGCCCCTTGTGATCACTCCTCAGCTCCTGCCTCTAATAGCACCGCCCCCTTCCTCTGCTGAGATCTATTTGAGGAAGCTTACATTGACAGGATCCCCTTAAAAATCCTAGATGGGTATTCCTCCTGCAGGTACCCCATCTTTTCTGCAGACATAGTGTGCTGTACTAGATCTTTTGATGCTGCCTACATCACCCTTCTGGAATGAAGGACATGGTCCCCCAAGTGCTGTTGTCAAAACTCTCACCTCTTCCCCAAGGGCAGCCTAATTTGTTGAACCTGAGGACCTCAGTTGAAACTGAGCTAGGAAAAGTCCAGTCGTAACGCTTGTTACAGGCCAAAGCCACACTACAGGAGTGGGAAGGGCATCTCTGACCCCCGACTCTTAGTTTTTCTTAGTTATCTAGGCTCCGTGCCCAATGTCATCATTTTTAGTGACAAGGCATCTTCATTTCTGTTGTGCCTTTTTCTTTCTAATGTGGGGTGGGTATGTCCTTTCTATTGGCCGTTCCTCTCACATGGGAGATACTTTAACAGCTCCGTGATTTCACCCACCTGCCTGGCAGACAGGCCAGGTGAGGTGAGGCTTTTCTGGGCCCTAGCAGTGCCCATGGCTGGGACTCTAGCTGCTTTTTCACTCACTCGCTCACTCCACTTTTCCGCCCACCACCACTGAATTCTTACAAGGCCCATTGTTTCGCGTATATATTTTTGCTCTCAATTTTTATGTTCCTTTTTTAAAAAATGAAGCATATATAAATTGTACATATGAATTTAAAAAATAATGTTGGAATCATTACTACATTAAAAGATGGATATTGATTTCAGAAGCCATGCAAGGTAACTGTCATAATCTGGGTGTGTCATAATCTGGGAAGTGCAGTAGGTACCCAGCAGGCCTGTTTCCTCCTGGAGGGAAGGGGGCCGCTGGCCTCTTTTCCAGCAGATGGATGCCCTCTAGTTCCCCGGAAGCAGCACAGCGTGGTGGTCAGGGGCCAATGGCTCCTTCACTAACGGCTGAATGAGAGAATGATTCACATAGAGCGCCTTTCATGGACAAAAATCTCATCCCTAGACCTAGAAATGAAAGATGTTAGTCTCTCTGTCACTGATAATCCAGATTCAAGGGGTGGGAAGAGCTGTGGTTCTTTAAAACTGGGCCCTTGCCAATTTGGGGGGGGGGGGGGGGTGGGGAAGCTTGACCCTTTTCTCAATAAAAAAAATCACCGAGCACTTTTTGAAAGATGACAGTCTGAATTTGTGACATCAGAAGTTTTAATGATAGATACAGCACATGTCTGTGTGAAATATCCTACGACTTTGCCCCAAAGCCAAACCCAGGGGGTATGGTTTCCTGTCCTAGAGTTCAGTGACGGGGAGTGTGAGGATAAATTTTGGGAAGTTACCATTTAAGAGCTGGTTTTGTTTAGAGGTAGTGGCATGCAAGGGAAGAGGTGACTCAGCAAAAGCGTTTCAGTCAAGGAGGATTGTCCTTCCCTCCACCTCTGCTCTGTGGCCTGCCTGCTCTCTCCAACCCAAAAGCAACTAAATGGCCAGATGAGGGCCAGGCAGGTAATCTTGGAGATAACACATGTGGTAGGACCAGGACTAGTGCAGGGACTCGCGTGACCCTGAGATGAGCCCTCTCTTTCACCCCAGGAGCTTCTCTTGCTTCAATGCACTGAAAGTTGTAAAACACTAAAGAAATAGCCCAGCCTCCCAAGATCTCCTCTGCTCTTAGATCCCACCCATGCCAACCTGGTTTCCAACCACATCCTGGACCCTCGTGTTTGTACGTTAATGGGATTCCTGGGACCCTCTTTCTTCCACCTGCCCACTTTATCCCAGGTGCCTGTTCTCTACAAAGTTGTAAACTAACTCTTTATCTCTATCCCATCCTCCTAAGGGTGTGCTCTCTAGGAGAGAGAGGAAGCTAGAGACCCAGTCTTGTCCTTTGTTACAACAAGTGGGTGTTTCTCTGCTGCCACAGCCTTTGTTGCCGAGTAGTCCAGTCTAGAGCTGGGAGGCAGGTGGAGAGATTTGCTAGGAGCTGGGCAGTTTGTTCTCATTTTAAGTAGCCTGGCAGCTTTGCTTAGCGGTGCCCTCTGCTGCCCTCTGTGGCCAAAACATCAATGTCTCCAGAGACGCTCTTAAAGCCCTGGGATCCAGCTCTCCCGACCATCCTCTTTTAAAGTGGTTCTCCTTTAGTTCTCCATGGGCTTTAAAAAGTAAAATAGGACACTCTAGCTCCAAGTCTTCCTCTGGTTTTTACTCCCAGCTTCTTCCTGCAAAGTTTGTCGAACTGAATCCTGAAAGAAACCTTAAGAGGTCATTGGGCTCCTCGGCTCTGCTCTAAGCAAGGCTGGGTCCAATACTTCTGGGAATTATAGAAGCTTTTGGTGACTCTCTAGACACTGCCAAAATCTCAGACTTCAAAGTTACTCACTGGGATTTCCACAAAATCTGTCCAATCGTTTATATTAGCTTGGAGACCTTTCACTTAGAGGACAAAAATCCCAATTAGAAAGATGGGCAGGCTGGCCATGGGGAAGGAGCTATTATGGCTGATATGTTCTCCAATGACCTTTTTTTTTTTTTTAACATCTAAAAAGCTAATTTCGTAAGCTTAAACACTGCTGAACTGTCCTCTATGGGCTGGAGGTGTTACTTTGTGACTTGCAAGCACAGCCCAGGACTCAATGGTTTCTCCTTGCTCTGGCAGTGAATGGCTTTGGGCACCTGGAAGCTGTCAAAGAACCCGTTTCTTTTCCCACTTCAGTCCCGAGTGAGATGAGTAAGCTTATTGTTGATTAAGGGAGAACCAACTATGTCTTACCAAGTTGAATTCCTCCTTGAGACAAGTATATGTCCACTAGGACTGGCTGGCTGGAGGAGCCCAGTATGAAACATCCCATTGCTGAAACCTACCAGCCACAAGAAGTGACTCCCTAGAGAAATTTGCCATTTTTGTTTGAAAGCCTCAACTGTTAGGCCTGACTTCTGATTTTAAAGTCTGTATGTACAGTGCTCATTGGCTCTAGGAAAATGGGAAAATGTGCCCGAGTTTCCAATTCTTCACAGATTTTTTTCATCTCTCCCTAATTCTGCTTTCCAATGCCTTCCAAAGGCTCCTGAAAAATATCCCTGCCCCTCTTACCATGTGCAATGGGAAAACACATGTTTATTTTGTTTTTTGGTGGTGATGCAAAACTCTACTGCCAAAATTCCACTTAGGTGAAACTTTTTTTTTTCTTGATTTTTATTTGTGTGTTGTGGTAAAAATGCATAGCATTAAATTTCCGATCTTAACCAATTTTACGTGTGCAGTTCAATAGTTAAATATACTCACGTTGTTGTGCAACAGATCTCCAGAACTTTTTCATCTTGCGAAAGTGAAACTCTATACCCATTGAATACTTATTCCCACCCCTTGCCCTGCTCACCTCCCCCCACCCGGGTCCTGTAACCACTTTTCTACTTTGTTTCTATGAATGACTACTTTAGATATTTCATGTCAGTGGAATCTTACAGTGTTTGTCCTTTGCTGCTTATATCACTTAGCATAAAGTCCTGGAGGTTCATCTTGCAGGTTATTGTAATATAAAATGTGGGGCGGCTAAGTGAGAGAAGGTACAGCAAAGCTTTGGGCCCCCAGGAGGACCAGTTCCCTGGCCCTTGATGTCTCTTCTCTTCACTGGTGAAGCCTGTGGGCCCCGTCAGAGCTTCAAAGACTAAGAGCCTCCTGGTCCTTTTCCTGGGGTATCCCTGCTGGATCACGGTAATCTATTGATAGGTAGGGAATGAGGTGGGATTCTTGGGAGAGGAGCTGAGCTCAGCGCAGAGGCGCGGGTGCGGATGGAAGGAAGCACTTAAAGCACAGCTGAAAATAAATCCCTGAGCTCTAACCACTTGCCCCTTAGACCTCTGATCTCCCCACACCTAACATTGGGAGCCTTCACTTTCCTAGGGCTTCAATGGAACCGTGGAGACACATCGAGCAGGCCTGAGATCTCGTGATTGGCAGACACTGTGTCAACTCCTCTCCCAAAGTAATACTAGGAAGCCAGACTCATTTGTCCAATTCTGAACTGGCCAAGTGGCCAAGTGTTGGGAGTAGGCTGTGGCAGGCCAGACAGTTCAGAGGCCCTCCTCTCCTGCATCCCAGTCAAAACCGGTATACCTCTCAGCCTGACGCGGCAAGCAACCGACACGCCAGTTGAGGGAAGGAAAGAACAGGAGTAGCCCTAGCACAATTTCACTGCACTGTTTCCCCCTTACCCAACAGGAGCAGGCGATCGGTTTCCCTCTTTCCCAAAAAGGCAAAAATCGGGGCATTCTACCGGAGGGCAGGGGCGGGGGGAAGGACCCTGGAAATTATCCCCACTGGGCCCCAGGGATTACGCAGCGGGGCGAGGGACAGCGCAGCGGCTCGGCCAAACGCGTCAGTGCGCCGGACCCTCTGCGCTCGCGCTCCTGCACGCCTCCCAAGGGCACGGCGGGGGTGGGAGGACACCAGCGCAGAGAGGCACTCCCAGGGAAGGATTTATTGCTGTCGCTTAGCCCACATAAACTGTGCCCACCTGGCGCGGAATCCCACCTTGCTACCTGCCAGCCTCGCTACCTGCCAACCTCATAAACAGCTACTGCAACCGCGGAGGGAGAAGGCGGGTGGGCGGCCCGCAGCCGCGCGAGGGGCTGGGCCAGGGGACGGGCCGCGGTCCGGGCCGGGATGCAGCGGCGCCTCTCCATTGGCCAGGACGAATGGGCTGCCGCGGCTCGCGGCGCGCCGCGGGCGGGGCCTCTGGGCGCGCGCTCCTCGTGCCCTCCCCCGCGTGGGCCGCCGGAGTTTTTAAAGTGGGCAGGCAGCGCCGGGAACGAGACACTCGGGAGCGACCCGCCACACTGCTCCGGCGTCTGCTGCGCTCCCGCCCCCCTCTCCTGAGCCGGCCGTACAATCCTCGGCAGTGTCCTGAGACTGTATGGTCATCTCAGCCGCCGCGCCGACCGGCCCCCGATTCTTCTGTTGTCGTTGGAATAACTTTTTCTTTATTTCTTTCTCTCTTTTTGAAAAGCCAAGAAAGTGACTCCGTTTTGAGGAGAAAAGGAACTTCGGTCCCTTTCTCGCTGCCCTCTTTTTGGCGTTTGACAGCCTCCTCCCACTCCTGTCCCTGACCCCGCCTCCCGGTGCAGGTTCCTCCCTGTCACCTTTCTCCACCCCTTTCCCCCGCACCTAGCCAGCTGCCCGCAAACTTCCACCTGACTGTGTGGGGCTCTCAGGCCTGCGAGCACCTTTAACATCGACCGAACCCTCGGGAAAAGGGCGAGGGCCACAGCGAAGGTAGCGGCTGCAGCCCCACACGCTGGGGGGCCCAAGTGCTCGGCGTCTCAAAGGGCCACAGCGACAATGACAGCTGACAAGGAGAAGAAAAGGTAAACGGGCGTCCGAGCCGGTTAGGGAGCTCGTCCGAGGGGGGTGGCCGGGCTTCGCAGGGCCGGCGCGGTCGAGAGCAACTGGGAGAGGAGTGCAGACAGGTCTTTGAGGTCCGACGATGAATTTGGAAGGGTTTTGAGGGAGGGAGAAACCAGGTGCTCCGTCTGGGGACGCGGTGCTGCGTCTTCGCAGTGGAGAGTTCTGTGGCCCGAAGGAATCGGGGACCTGGCCGTGCAAAAGGCCAGGAGCCCGAGGGAGCTGGCCCTGCAGGTCGGAGGTGCTCCCGCGGTATCTTCCAAAATCGCCCCGGCCTCAAACTCCGGCGCCCGCGGGTTGAAATGGGGTTTTTTGGCTGATTTAACTCAGGTCAACTTTCGACTTTTAAGTCTCATTAGCGGGACAGCATCCACTCCGGCCCTTCGGGTCCTTCCAAATGAGTTGCTTTGTCCTCTGCACCCCAAATTGGCAAGGGGTCGGAAGTGGAGCGCGGCCCTAAGACGCGACAGGGTGAAGGGGCCGGGACGCAGCAAAGGGCTCGCATTCCGGGTCCCCAGGTCCCACTGAAGCTTGGAGAAACCACCCTCATGGTCCCGCACCTTGACTCCGCCGGAGAGGGTGGGTGGTGGACCGGGCTCCCTCGCGGGGGCAGTTGTCTTGGTGTGCGCGAGGTGATGGCGACACCGGGCAGATCCTGGTGTTCCTCTCCCAAGAGGACAGAGAAGGGCAGCTGCGAGCTGCGTGCTGCTGCCTGCCCTCGGGAGCCTCTAGGCACTGGGTGAGAGGCGACTCCGGCCAACTCTCACTGCCCTCCTGCCCCCTCCCGGCCGCTCCCGCCTGGCCCTCTCCAGGCGAGGGTGAGAGCGCACCGTGCGGCAGCGCAGACGTGGGCACTGCTTCTCTTCCCGCAACCGTGCGCAGCGCGCAGCCTGACCCTCTCTTCTCAGGTCTCCGCTGGTGCTGCCCCAGGACGCTGGAACTTTCATCCCCGCGCTGGGCGGCGGTGGCTTGGCAGTGCTTGGGTTGGGGGACGGGAATCGTACGCGTAGCTGGCTGAACGGCCTGAGAGTCTGGAGATCAGCTGCTGGGCGGCTGTGAGGAGGTGAGGGGATGGGGGACCCAGCTACAAAGGGACGGGCGACTGGCCTTGAGCCGGCGGCCCGAAGAGCTCAGTGCCTGTGTTGATTCGCTCTTATTCTGACTTCCATTGAGAGACTGGAGCCAGAAACCGTGTATCTTCTGGTCGAAAACGGCGGTTCCCACCTCGGGGCACCGATAAGAGTTTGATAAAAGGGAGTGAAAAGCGCCCCGTTCTGGCCTGGTGCCCGGTCCCTGTGCTCTCTGATCACTTACGGGCAGGCGCGGGGCGGCGGGGGGGGGGGGGGGGGGGGGGGGGGGGGCCGGGGGCATGCGGGAGGAGGGGGGCGGTGTTTGAGCCTGGTTACCTCTTCCCGACTGCAGCTCCTCCTTCTGCATCACTGTGGCACCCCCAGGCCTAAGACAGTGAGGGAACCTTGGCCCGGCCACCCTGGGCTTTAAGACTGCGCCCCTGGGGCCTCACAGCAGCTCTGGAGTCCCGTGTCTTTGAAGGGCAGTGAAGCGGAAGAGGAGAGTTTAAGATTCCAATGCATTTTGTAAAACCAACGTAGCCTGCATCATCATACCAATAATAATGACTGAACAATCAAAAAACAAAGATATAGTCAGCTCCTCGGCTCTCTCGTGCCCGGAGCCGGCACGGAAACTTAATGTACATTTACAGTTGCGATGCCTAGTGGTGAGTGTCACAACCGCAGGTGGAGCCTGCAGGTAAACTTGACAGATGTGTGAAGTGTAGCTTCCCCCATGTGGCTCAGCGCTGGTCCTGTGTTATTAAACGATGCAAGAAACTTGGGAACAGGGAACACATTTTTTCGACATACCTAGCGGTAGTGCCTCCTTCGTTAGAGATAGAGGGAGCCAGAAAAGGAGCAGGAAATAAAAAGGGGGGGGGGGTGGTAATCAGACTCCGAATTATTCGTGAGAGCTGCTAGTTTTAAAAACTACTGCCAGGATTGTCTGCGAGTTGTCTAGGAGGCCAAGGTGGGCGCTCCAGTGCCCAGTGTGACAGCCCTTTGCAACTTGCCTTGATTTTTGTGTTGCAGTCTGGCAAGGCAAACAGCATGTTCCTCGCCATCCAGAGTCCCGTGAGGGGTTGTCTAATTCCTGTTGGGCTAATTGTTTAGAGACATATTTACTTTTTTGTGTCTGGCTCTGTTTGCTGGCCTCAGGCTCCTTGCAGGACAAAGGCATAATTAAAATATGTGACCCAATACATTGAAAGTTAGTGTAACATGGAAGTGGATGTCCTCAGCTTCCATGCAGTGCCTCACGAGTGCCGTGTGCTGCCTGCCAAGGGGGCTTTCAGATGATGATTCTGTCCATCATCAGTTCTTAAGAGTTTTGATCTTTATGGTTCAGCAGAGCCACGTCTTCCCCCAAATTCAAGGTGCACAATACTTGCAATGTTTCTTCTAACAGCCCTTTAAGAGGTGGGCAGGATCATTTTGTTCCAAAGTGTTCATGTGTCGATGGATATGTTAATGTTTAATAAGAGTTTGCTTTCTAAGAGTTGGCTGGCTGGTTGGCTGGCCTTGATAGAAGGTACCAAAGTGCACTCTTTTGGTGGTAGTGGGCATTCCCAGGGATATCAGAGATGGTCAGAAACTGAAGCTTGGTAAGGGCGCTGCACTCACCTTTCGGCACTGATCTTTCAGGAGTGAAGCGGAGGCCTAATTAGTCAAGGTTCCTGATTCGATGAAGAGCTGATAAGTGTCTGGGTGACTAACGTTCTGATAAGACAATTTCTGAGTTCCCTTCCTGGGAGAGAAAAGAGTCTGGAAGTTTTTAGGTACATACAGATTGGAAAGTGGTTCCAGAGGATAATCAGGGATCAAAGTCCATCCCCAAAGCCAGACCCAGCTTAGAACACCTTCTCCGAAAAAGGCTTATATCACTTAATGTGGGACCAGTGGTAGAAGGGGTCAGAGATCTCTGGATCAGAAGCTTTCAAACTAGCTCCTCCTCCCCCTGCCAGGTGGGCATAGCTGTTCCTCTGCTAAAATAAAACCCACATCCATCTTTTTCCAATACCGAAGGCAGAAATATAACTGAACAGTTTTTCTCAATTTATGTCTATTTTCTATAAATATTCCTTCAACATTTGATATCTGTCTCTGTTGCATTACTAGAATTCAAGAATAAGGGATAGATGTAACACATTATAGGTTCAGATATTTAACATTTAATTCATATAGCTTTCATGAAGTTCGGAAAAAATGTCATGGCTACAGGTTTTTTCACTGTTGCTGATGGGAGCTTAGAATTATTTTATAAGGGCTATGGAAATAATCTAGTCAAATGTTTCCCTTTCTGGATAAGGAAACTGAGGCCCAGAGAGATTAAGTGACCTCCAGTCACAAGGAAAGTTAGCACTGGTAAGAATCAGAACTCTGGTTCATTACTTTCAATTAAGTAGGCATCTTCCTATTGTTAGCAAAATAGTACCCCCAGTCTTGGATTGCCTCTAGACAGTGAAGATGAGTTCCAAAGGATTACAGTGCCCCCCACCCCCACCCCAAGCACTGAACCTTATAGAAAGGAGACTTGCTTTTCTAGATTATAAAAGACTACAGGCTGCACCAGGAGTGATTCTATTTGCTTTTTACAAAAGAAGAAGAGTTGTGGTAGTGGTACTAGTAGTAGTAGTAGTGGTGGTGTTGGTGCTGGTCCCAGTGTCTGTGAACTTTGGAAAGTATGAATTCATAGCTTTAGTGCTCTCCCTGTATTTCACTTAGAAAAACTTTACTTATATGTGGACCTCATTAAACAAAACCGATGCAAGGACTGCTCCCCAGTGGAGCAGATTGCTTTGTGAAGTAGAGAACCTCTGTCAGAGGACACATTCAAACATCTACTAGAGTGATTCCTATATTGAGGTGGCATTTTCACTAGGAGTGAAGACCATGAGACTAAAACTGATGGATTCACTTTGAACGTAAATCTGTCGATCTGTGTATATGTGCGCACACGCACGCGCATCCAGTGATCCTCAACTTTCTAGGAATCTATTGTGTAAAATGTTTACAGCTAGAAGAAACCAATTAAGTAATCTTAGTGCTCCAGGATTTCAGCCCAATATATTTGAAAATAATTGCTGTTATTATTTATCTCAAAATTTAGGCTTTTCTACTTCTCATCAATCCAGTAGTGATTGCTTTTTTGTATTTTCTCCAGTTCTGTTCCATGCCAACTTTTAATTATAGCCTAATGAAGCTTCCCTTTTGCTTTTAGTACTGACCATCACTGATAATTTGTAACAGGTAAAGTGTTTTCCAATAATATAAAGTCAGCAGTTTGTTCACTAGGTCCCCAGGATCCCACCTTCTGCAGTACTATGCTGTCTATCCTCGTGAAAGCCAGCTCTGCTGTTCACACAGTAATATAAATCAATAAGAAAACAAATATGTATTGAACGCCCACTCCTACTCTGGATAAAATACTGAAGGGGAGACTAGGAAATAGAGGATACAGCCCTTGTCTTCAAATCCTTAGTTTGGTAGGGGGTGAGGGGGAAGACACACAAGGAAGTTTAACTAAAAATGCAGGTAGCTGGCAGCTTACAAGTGACTTTTCTGTTAGGGTCAAATATTTTGAAGCTAAAGATAAGAAGCTCTCAGTAGCATTTCAGGCAGTAGTAACCACACACACAAGCACACACAATTATTAAAAAGTATTGTGTGGTTTGGGTTGGGAGATCCAGTTCATAGTTCTCCCTGGAATCACCCAGATTAGGCAGTGACCACCAGCGGAAAGGCTGGCTCTGAGGACAGGTCAAATTCCAGTAGTCAGCACTGGGGCCAATGAGAGGGAAGAAAAAGTGGAGGGTTCAAGAGGATTCCCTGCCATGTACTTCAACGCCGTAGTCAGAAGGGCCCCCAGTGATGAATGTTTGCTGTCCTCC